TGTGTGTGTGTGTGTGTGTGTGTGTGTGTGTGTGTGTGTGTGTGTCTAAAAGTCTAGACAGGACCTGGGGATTTGGCGTATGACGCGTGGAAGCAGGAAAAGTTGATGAGGGCGTATGAAGCCAGGAAGAAGTTGGAGATGATGGGAGCGATGGTGTTGAGCTGAGCTGAGACACAAACAACCGCTGTTACATGATCACATCTGTCTCATGAAATCAGTCAATCACTGTTATATTTACCGATGAGGATGAATGCTACAGCGATGAAGAAGGTCAGGATGTATCCTCTGATTGGCTCGTTGTTTTTCCCGTGACCTTTGGCGAAGAACTTGAGCGCCTTGTAGATGTTGTCCTTGCATAGAGCCTGTGGACGGATTCACTTTTAAGAGCTTCTTTACAATGTACTGCCGTCTTTTATTGTATTTTAAGATTGTCCTATAAACGTCTAAAGCTGATTAGATATTTATTGGGTTTAAATGGTGTGCGTGTGAACTCTGACCTGGAAGACTTTGGGCGCGCTCACTAGAGACGCAAGAGCTGAGGAGAGCGTGGCCGAGAACGTTCCCGCCGTGATGAGAGGTCCGAACCCAGATACTAGAGTCATTACCTGCACACAAACACACAAGAGAGAATCATTTCAAACTCAATTATTTCCATGAGTTTCAGCCATGCACTGGATTTCAGGTCACGTATGTTCAAGACTCCCACCTGGAAGTTGTTCATGAGGCCGTAGTTGCATTTGGTGGTTTGGCAGATTGAGAAGTCGTAGCCCAGATCACAGGCCGAGGAGAAGTTGCAGCTCAAACCCGGTTGGATAGTGTCGTTGCGGTTCCCTGTCGCGTCTCGAACGACCGTCACAGCTGCAGAGAATCAGCACAGTCTTTCTGTTAGACATCCAGACTGAGACTAGAGTAATTTCAAGTGTGCGTTCAGGACTCACAAACAACCAGCGCGATGCCCAAATACGTAACTCCTGTGATAAAGATGGCCAGCAGCGTTCCTTTGGGAAGAGCTGCCTGAGGGTCCTGAAAAACCAGAGGCGTTCAGTGTTGTGGGTAACGCACTACAAGTAACGCGAGTTACGTAATCAGATTACTTTTTCAAGTAACTAGTGAAGTAACGCATTACTTTTTAATTTACAAGAGAATATCTGAGATACTTTTTCAAATAAGTAACGCAAGTTACTTTGTTTCCAATTTATTGATTGACAGCTCTGGTGTTGCCATGGTGACAGAAATCAGAAGATATTACTGTAGTTCTAAAATAAATATGAATATGCATTAATTCATCACTCACAAAAAAACAAAAAACACAGATTCAGTATTCCTCAAAATGCAACTCAGAATATGACGCAAACCTGCAATAATTAAATGTTAAACAACACAAATATCCTTTCCGGAAGAAAGTTTTCCTTCGCGATGGATTCTGTTTTAGACAGAGATGAGATGTGTTCGACACGGCAGGATTTCATTTTCAGGACTTACTACTGACACTGACTTCATGAATATCTGCCAGTGTTCACGTCATCAGTCATCACTGTTACATTCACATTTAGTCATTTAGCAGACGCGTTTATCCAAATGAGGACAATGGAAGCAATCCAAACCAACAAGAGAGCAATGATATGCAAGTGCGTGCTATAACCTCAGTTAGCATAACGCAGTACATGCAGCAAGGTTGTTGTTTTTAAAATAATATAATAAATAAAAAGAAAACTAGAATAGAAACAGAATAGAGCAAGCTAGTATTAGAGGACTTTTTTTGCTTTTGTTAATTGTATAATAAATAAAAAGAAGACAATAGATAGAATACTAAAAAGATTAGAGAAGCTAGTGTTTTTTTTATATAAAAATAGTATATTTAAAAAAAAACAATTTTTAATAATATTTTAATAGGCTATATAGAATAAAAAATTAAATTCTACCTAAATTTAGAATTTTTTTTTTTTTTTTTTTAAATCAAGCATTCACTGTTTTTGTAGTATTTTTTTCTAAAATGCTTAATGTATTTTCTTAGTTTTCAATTAAAAACGCAAAACATTTAATGCGTTTTGGCCGTTTGGTTACACAACAATGGCATTTCGGAGGCCTGAAAATGATCAAAATAGCGATTTAATCACTCTTATATTGAATTGAGTGGCATGACAGTTTATACTATAAGTCTCGTCAAGCTCCAAAACGTTGGGTTTGGATTAGGGTAAGTCACAATAAATAACTTCAAGGGGCCATTTGTGTTTAAAAAAAGCAGGTAGTGACATGAAAGTAAACGTAAGTCTTGGTGGACTTCTTTTAACTTAATCGCTACGTTTTTAGAACACTGCGTCATGCGTGAAAAACAATGGTAAAGCAGTGCAGTAAAATGCGACCCCTAAGGCTTTAAGCACACATTTAGGATTGCATGTAGAATTTCGAGAATCGAAATATGGGGGGACATTCATGGTCCTGATGCTTTGGGCCTCAGAGGGGTAAGTATGATTATTTATACCTAAAATTTCAGGCACAGATGGCAGTGTTTCTGGTCTGTCTCACCTCGATAGTTAAAGAAGCCTTTGGAACGCTTGTCCTGTGTGGAGGGAATCACTGTTCCCACAAATACATTGGCAATGGCCAGCAGCAGGATCACCAACAGAGCTACCTGAGCCTATAGAGAGAGACAAGGTTCTCAATCTGCTGCCATGCCTACAAACTCAATCCCAGCATGCTCCTGTTCTTACCTTGGCCTCCCACTCCATTCCCGCCACAGTGATGCCCATCAGCAGAACCACTGTTATACAGCCGATGATCCTGATGTCATTCACTGGATCCACTATCAGAGCGTTGCTTTCCTGAACAGAGCAGATAGACGTATTTAGAAGCAGCTGGATTTCAAGGCTGGTTTTATCATTTTTGTGGATCTGTACCTTGAGAAGCTCCACCACAGTTTCAGCAAACCCCACGACATACACGGCCACGGCATTGGCGAACGCAAATATCAGACCGATGGAGCTGCCGAATTCAGGTCCCAAAGTGCGGGAAATCAGATAATATGCTCCACCTAGAGCACAAACACACTCCGTGAGCTCAGATGAAGACCTGATCTAGTTGCTATACTCATGTAAAGTGTGCTTTACCTCCTCGTACCACACCGTTGGTACATATAGCTGACATGGACAGACAGGTGACGCTGGTCACCACAATGCTCAGCAACACAACCACTATCCCCAAACCTGCAACACACCGATGCTTTGACAGGTAACATGAACATATGAGCCCGAATACATCAGATGAGCCATTTCAATAAATAACCACTTAAGTTTCAATCTGTTGTGTTTCACAGAAGAAAGGAACGATGCTATGATGGTGAGTGCATTTTTGGCTGAGTTATTCATTTTTATTTTAGTATTTAAACTAACTCACACTTATAGTCTCACACACACTCAACACCCAGCATGCTTCAGTTCAGTGAGTGTGTTTGTTCAGCGCTATAATGAGATCGTTGAGGAATAAAAGCGCTCAGCGCCTGCAGTCTCTCACACCTCATAAAATGCGTAACTGCAGTGAGCTTCTGATGGCCTGTAATGTGTTTGGCCCGCAGCTCGAGGTGTCTGACTGAAACTGCACTTTCTTAGAAACTCAAACTTCTGAGGCTCCATTAGTTACGCGCCATTAACACCAGCAGTGACCTTCAGCGCCGCTGACCGAGCACAGAGAGACTAACACCTTCTCAGATGTTTCTCCTGAGAACCAGACCGCAGGAATCTCACATCACGCGGGTCTCAAAAAGTCCTCATTCGCCCTTCCACAGATTTAAGCTCTTGAATCAGAGCAGAAAGTCTAGTTTTTTAAAGTCATGGCATTAAATGTTGCATGCACTGCAAAAAAAAGAATGTCTTGTTTTCCAATGCAAATATATAAACGTCTTTAAATTGAGATGCAAATGAACACATGTGACCCTGGAGCACAAAACCAGTCATAAGGGTCAATTTTTTGAAATTGAGATTTATACATCATCTGAAAGCTGAATAAATAAACTTTCCATTGATGTATGGTTTGTTAGGATAGGACAATATTTGAAAATCTGGAATCTGAGGGTGCAAAAAAATCTAAATATTGAGAAAATCATCTTTAAAGTTGTTCAAATGAAGTTCTTAGCAATGCATATTACTAATCAAACATTAAGTTTTGATATATTTATGGTAGGAAACATACAAAATATCTTCATGGAACATGATCTTTACTTAATATCCTAATGATTTTTGGCATAAAAGAAAAATGTATAATTTTGAGCCATGCAATGTATTGTTGGCTGTTGCTACAAATATCCCCCAGCGACTTAACACTGCTTTTGTGCTGCAGGGTCACATATAAAGTCTTGTTTTCTGAGAAATTGAACAAAATTAAGTGAGTTTATGCTTAAAACAAGGACAAAGATATAATATGTTGAAATAAGTTGATCTGCCATTGGCAGATAGTTGTCCTTTATCATAATTACACTTAATTATTAATAGATTTCCCAGAAAACAAGACTTCATTTGTAATTGATTTAAGAATCTTTAGACATCTGCACTGGAAAACGAGACTAAAATACTGAGGAAGAACATTGCTTTAATTTATTCCTTTAATTGGTTTTTAGAAATTCCTTAAATTTATTCAGATGTGTCAAGATACCAAAGTCTGCCATCAGAAGTACAAACCCCAGCGTTTCTCAGCACACTGACCAATCTAAAAGTCAACGTTTGTAGTGTTTGCCTGTGAAAAACGTTCTGGGTGTCTTCTTTACGTCTACTATGAAAACAGTCCCTTGAGTCTCTTCATGTTTCTGCTTTTAGCTTCAGACACTTTCTGTGTGTCAACAACTGACTCATTTCTGTCTATTTCTATTTCAGAAACGTTCATGCTTCAATCTTCAAACAGAACTCTGCGGAGTCTCCAGATGTCTGAAAGAGCCTCTCTGAGTATAAATCTTCCTCTCTCTTTAAAAAATAACAGTTCTTTATTAGCATGAAGAACCTTCAACATCCATGGAACCTTAAAAGGTTCTTTAAAGTGGAAAAAGGTTCTTCTAATTATAAATTTATTTTTATTTTAAGCATGAACCAAAAATGTTTTTTCTATTTTCTTTTAGGACCTTTATTTTGTGGGTTTGTCTGCGCTGAGCTGGGATCAGATTGTGTGTGCGCACGTATGCAGGAATGTAGTTTTCTGTGCTGAATGTAAATGAGCACCTGCTGTGTGTTCAGGGAAGGTTTATGAAGGTCACACAGATGAACATCTCACCTATTCCCGCTTGTCCAAACACCCACGACAGCCGTATGAACAGCATGACACCCCAGATATTCAGCATGCATCTCACCTGCAAACACACCACACGGTCAAACTGCAGCAGAGCGCATATTAAGCGTGCTAGAAAAGTGCTGATGCCACATAACTCACCAGAACTCCTTTGATCCATCCAAACTTCACTATGCCTCCGGCTTCCTTGTCTTCCAGCGGGATGATGGACTCCACATCGCCCAGCGTCGAGGTATCCGCTCCTTCTCTGTCCTCGACCGTACTGGGAATATCAAGGCCTCCATTCTGATGATAAACAGAGAAGTTCAAACAAACTGAAACTGTGCATCTTTCAAAATTATACATGCAGCTTTTATGTCTGCATTCCTGCGTATGACATAAATTATGACATAAGAACTTATACTCGACTAATACATTCCCTCATTTTATTTAATCATGGCCACAATTTGCTAATTTGTTCCGTCTTTTTAATAAGTCGTGACCACGTTGTACTAACTCAATTTACTGTGAGGGAACAAATTAGTAAATCATGGCCACGAATGAAATAAAATCAGGAAATTAATTAGTAAATAGTGAATATATATAATTGATATATATATATAAATAGCCATATTATAAATATTTCCCCTGCATGTCAATATTTCCCAAACATGTAAGGTTTATGAATTTATTGCTCACCATTTAAAAAGGTGATTAAAATAGTGAAAAACAAAAATGGTGGTTAAAATATTCATTTTCTCTTATGCAAATATTTACATTTTGATGTTGCTAAAAAGTCAGTGGACGAGTTACGCGGCAACTACCCAGATGTGACATTTATTAATGATCTCATATGCATAAATGAGTTCTGTGTTCTGTGACTCAAAAGACTTGGATGCCCAGAGAAGATCATTTAAAGAGTGACTTGGCTCGTTACTTTCTTGAACAAATGTATTGGAAACATACACAAATAACTTTCTCCGACATCAGGACTGTGTGCATGCGTGCTTTCTGAATCAGCGCAAACTTTTCAGCCCTTGTTTGCATTAATTACCCTGTTTAAGGCCAGCGGATCAATGCATTAGCCGCAGAAGCTCGTTACTCATGCTTCTCTCTCAGGCTTTCTCATTAGGTTGGTTATTGATCTTTGTCTGCGTCGGGTCACCGTTACGACACCCACTTCTGCAATTAACCTATAATCAGCTCAACAGACTGCCTGTGCTCTAAACACCGAATCATGAATCGTGTGTTTGATTTGTGTTATTAAAATATGATGTGGTGCATGGGAAGAACGGATCATCAGTGAGGCTTTTGCTTTCTTGATTATTGTTCTTTTCAGGTGTGACTCACCTTCTGGAAAACTTCGTGCAGCTCCTGTAGGGAAGGTCTGACGACTCTGTGTCCGCTGATGCTCGCCGCATTACGATAAAAGTCAACGTTTGGCACCCGGTCCAGGGTGTTGTGCCCAAAAGCACTGACCACAGACGGCCGCACGGCTCGCCGTTCCCCGTTATTGAACCCGTTTCCGCAGAAAGACGTCTCCTCGTACTGTGGAGGGTCGTCTTTAGATCTCTCGAACCCGGGGTTCTCCATCAGGAGGCTTCAGTGGGTCAAAGAGTACAATAGATTGAGCTCTTCTGAGCTTCCAGACCAGGTCTCTTTCTTTGAGTCTCAGATGCTTGAGAATCAGACCACTGTGAGTTTAGCTGATGTGTTTATGTGTCACTTTATATAGCCGCTGAACAGGTGGAAGCTCATTGGTCCTGATGGGGGTAAATATGTTCTCGCTCCATCAAAGGTGACGCCAATGAAGTGCTTAAAAATTAACAGCATATAAAGACCCTGAGAGGTTATGGATACTGGAGATGCTTTGAGTTTTGCCTGGTTTTATGAGTTGTGATTGTTTGTCAATGCTTGTGTTTAATTGTAACTTGCAGTATCTAAAGAGCGAGTGTTCAGATGGAGGAGATTTCAATTTATTATAACAGCAGATCATACAAACAGAGTCCCGTCATTTGTATAGTATTTGGTATCTGGGTGTGTGATCGACAGGGAATCCACAAACCAAGCAAGTCCAAAGTCCTTTTATAACATCAAATTAACATGAAACATAAGATTCTTGTAAAGATTTCATCGCTTGCTCTTTATGACGCAGAGGTGTATGAGGTGTGATGCCTGGTCATGTGAAGTGTTGCTCTGTTGATGGGGTTAATGTAAAGCCAGCAATAATGGGAACTTGCTCTGGGCGCTTCTGACACATTACTAAAATACTTCCTTATTGCTCTTAAGTTGTATAATGTTTTCACACACCTGTGAAAACCGCAGCCGTCCGGCCGACCTTGGAAAGGTTTCGCTCCAGTGCGATTAATAGGAAAGGTCACCGAAATGAGCGGTAGGTGATGTTGTTCTCTGTCTCTCCTCCAACTGCTTTCAGTTGAAAGTATAGCTAAAACTGGTAGCTAAATGTCACTAGATGACACCATAATGGCAAATTCACTGATCTGTATAAAGATGAATGCTGATCAGTGGGCAAGATGAGAACTTAAGATACGGTTTGTCCAAAAAGTTGCTATATTTGTTCCTAAAGTTTAGAAAAAAAGTCTCAAAAGGGGCAGGGAAGTCGCTAAATCTAGCTACAAAGTAGCTAAATTGGCAACACTGCTCTCCTTTGATTGGCTGGAGGTGATGTGGGCGTGGCCGTGTGACCTCTTGACCTTGAGCCGAGCTGCATTTTAGAGACACTGGATGTGATTTCAGACCGATTATGTGATCTAAATCAGGTTTGACTCCCTCACAGTCGACATCAATTGAGTGTTTTGCTTTTTCTGCCCTTCACGAATCCCCCAGCGCGCCTCCGGTAAAAAGACACAATGTTATCCCTAAACACTACAGGATCGTGCTGAGGCGCAGCGCTCCGTGTGTGTGTGTGAGTGTGTGAGTGGGAGTGTGTGTGTGTGTGTGTGAGGGTGAGTGGGTGTGTGTGTGTGTGTGTGCAGTAGCTAAATTGGCAACACTGCTCTCCTTTGATTGGCTGGAGGTGATGTGGGCGTGGCCGTGTGACCTCTTGACCTTGAGCCGAGCTGCATTTTAGAGACACTGGATGTGATTTCAGACCGATTATGTGATCTAAATCAGGTTTGACTCCCTCACAGTCGACATCAATTGAGTGTTTTGCTTTTTCTGCCCTTCACGAATCCCCCAGCGCGCCTCCGGTAAAAAGACACAATGTTATCCCTAAACACTACAGGATCGTGCTGAGGCGCAGCGCTCCGTGTGTGTGTGTGAGTGTGTGAGTGGGAGTGTGTGTGTGTGTGTGAGTGTTAGAGTGTGTGTGTGTGTGAGTGTGTGAGTGGGAGTGTGTGTGTGAGTGTTAGAGTGTGTGTGTGTGTGTGTGTGTGTGAGTGTGTGAGTGGGAGTGTGTGTGTGAGTGTTAGAGTGTGTGTGTGTGTGTGTGTGTGAGTGAGTGAGTGAGTGAGTGAGTGTGTGCGTGCGAGTGTACCTGGTATTTATCACGTTATGGGGACCAAATGTCCCTACAAGGATAGTAATACTAGTAAATTTTGACCTTGTGGGGACATTTTTGAGGTCCCCATGAGGAAACAAGCTTCTAAATCATACAGAATGAGTTTTTTTGAGAAAGTAAAAATGCACAAAGTTTCCTGTGAGGGGTAGGTTTAGGGGTAGGGTTGGTGTAGGGCAATAGAATATACAGTTTGTACAGTATAAAAACCATTACGCCTATGGAATGTCCCCATAAAACATGGAAACACAACGTGTGTGTGTGTGTGTGTGTGACAGACACAACTTTCTGAAAGCAGTCACCCATCAATATGATTATGAACAGCCATTGCTATGGTTGCAGACACAAGTGGTCAGTTACTATGGACACAGACACCAGCGTAAAGCGGTCACTATGGTTACAGACCATCTCATTCAGGCTGAGAGTAGTGATGCAGATGCGTTTCGCACTGATATTGTCTAAATCCAGCAGCATGTGTAGTCCGGTTTACCCTGATAGTTTGACGATGTGAGGCGACACGTCAGCGCTGCTGTTTTCTGAGATGTGCTGTTTGCTTTCTGAGAAAGAGCCACAAAATACTGATTGACGTTTGCTTTACAGACTATATAAAAGAGCATTTACAACCATTTTACTTGCATATTAAAATGCATTTCTGAGTGCAGTAGGAAACAATGGTGAGGGTGTGAATGCAGATCTGAATGCGAGATTGCAGTGGATTTTGCAGTGTTCGCAAAAGTGGATTTTAGATCCTTCTGAGGAGTATCTCCACATATCCCAGAGGTAATGCATTGTTCATCTATTTTTCAGCTGATAATACTGCTGTAACCTTGATTTTAAATGCTAATCAGCTTAAAATGACTGTGTGTGAGCTACACAGTAATGCATCACTGCACAACACCGAATACATTCATAATGTGCACTGATTAATCATTTACAGTAAGACGTGCAACATGAATATAGAAAGTAAATAGAATGAATTTTGAAGTTTTAGGAAAGAAACGGCAGCACAAGGAAGAGGTCCAGAACTGTTTTATTCCAGCAGATGAACACAGACCATCACGGCGAGGGACATCCCCTCCTCAGCATCAGAGAAACACAAAGTGGTCTTCATCATCTTCATCATCACATGAACCCACCACACACACACACACGGATGCACACAAACACAGATCGTCCTGTGAGAGATACGCTACCGTCGCTAAATGAAGGCACGGAAATCCAGTAAGGCAGATTCACAGCACTACAACACTGGAGATGAGCTACGCTTTCATTGGTGCATCACTCGCATCCAGCTGGCATCTTTCTGCTGTTGTCATGGTGACACACCCTTCCTCTGTCACTCAAACAAACACGGAGGTGGCAGGATGTGTCACAATTTCAGACATGTCCTGCAGAGTCTCTGTGTGCAGATGTTTTCATAGGCAGTAAGTGAAGAGAAACGATTTGCTAGAATAACAGACAGGGGTCTACAGAGACGTTTGCACTGCTATAAGACTTCACAGCTTCATAGTTCTCAGAAACAGCAGGTTATTTTAGTGCGATTGGCTTCGGAGACCCAGATGACGGTAAACAGGAGAGAAACGTACTCTACGCAAGTGTGCGAATGCTTGGCCGGCGCATTGCATATGTACTTCATTACTAAACGGGGTGGAAGCTAGACGGACAGCATGAATGAAAGGGACAAATTGCCCTGTTTACATCCTAGCGTTGTCTTGCACGTGTGCCATCTCGGTTCTTTTAATTCAAGTCTTTCTCTACTCTTCCCTGAGATGCCCAGTGGCTAAATGGTGTGACAATGCATTCTAAAAATTGACGTCTGTCCAAGTATGATGCCGTAACAGCAGGCCATGCGTCACGGTGTGTCATTTTAATGAATTCTCACATCCTCCGGGGACACGTTCTTGTGATCCACCGCTGCTATTTTGTGTGTAGGGTTGCAAAACAATTTCTGGAAACTTTCCAAAAGTTTCCAAAAAATCCCTGAAAGTTTCCAAAATCTCTGGAAAGTTTCTGAAATTTTCCAACCCTTTGCATGCATCAAGTAGGCGTCTTTGGCCATTGCATCACCAAACATTGTATATTTATCGGAAGGTGTCAAGTTAAAACATTTAGCATCCTGTGTGCATGCCCCCATACGGTGCAAAGTCTTTATATGATTCAGGGGGCTCTAGAATGAAGCCATGGACTGGGGGTCTGGTGTCTTTGGGAACGTGGTCTCAGGTAAGAGCGTTTTCAAACGTCCCTTTTTCCAGACCCTCCAGTCTGTCGCCCCAGCTGGATGATGGCATGCTACTGTAAGGGTCCAGCAGGATCCGGAAACACCTGACGATCAACAGCCCGAGAAACACCAGCAACATCCCAACGAACGCAAACGCCGTCTTCTGCTCCAGACTCAGAGAATAGGCCATGATGTCACTACCGCTCATGGCCGTCAGGCTGTGGTTATAGTGAACGCTACACATGTTCCCAGGCGAACCTCGTCATCCTGCATGCATTTAGAGATCAGCGCGGATAGATGGACGCCTGTGAAGGTAGGAGATGCTCAGAATTAATTTATGGAATCAATCAGACAACAAGCGCTTCATTAAATTATTAGCATGCACAAGAGAATATTGGGACAGGCATGTTCCACGCAGGAATATTTTGAATCGATGTACACTCTGTGGAGCATGCAAACTTGCCTTTAAATGGTGATGTGCATGAAAATATGGCCAGTGTTATGCAACACACAGGATAGGTGCGAAAGCAGGCTTCCAGGCGAATTAATGCATGCGACTCTTCTGATGTTTTGTTTGCATTTCTAAGGGTAACATGATTTGGGACTATTCATCGCACCAAAAGATAAACTGCAGTGCTTTACAATTATAGGACAGGAAGAGCTAAATAAACTTATCACTGCATCTAAACCAACAACATGCCTGTTAGATCCTGTACCCACTAAATTACTGAAAGAGTTGTTACCTGTAGCAGAAGAACCGCTTCTCAATATTATTAACTCGTCGTTGTCTTTAGGTCAAGTCCCAAAACCATTCAAGCTGGCGGTTATTAAAGGGGTCATATGATGCAATTTCAAGTTTTCCTTTCTCTTTGGAGTGTTACAAGCTGATTGTGCATAGATAAGATCCCTGAAGGAGGCATATAATAGACAAAGAAAGCAACTTGTTGAAAAACTAAGAGATATGGAAATCAATGACATTTCAGTTATGAATATATTTCAGAATGCACAGAAACATCTAAGGGTTTATGATTTTCTTCTAAAATATCTGAGAGATACAGATTTGATTAGAAGAATTTAGTTTATTTTTTTTTATTTTTTTTATTTTATTTTTTATTAGTAGTATATGATATATTCGTTCATCGAGGCCTCACACTCCATCCCAGTAGGTGGCGGAAATGCACCTTAAGCTGGTTTGCCAACCGCCATTAAACACAAAAGAAGAAGAAGAAGAAGTCTCGCGTGTTCTCGCGATAGCTGCGTGAGCGGAGAGACGCGCGCTGGAGAGGAGCAGCAGTGATGGCGGACGCGGAGCCGACGCTGGACCTGACTGACACCAAACATGAGGAATCAGGCGATTCTCCCGCTGACGAAGGAGAAGCGGAGCCCCAGCAGACACAGGAGAACACCAATGGCGTTAAAACGTAACTGGGTGCTCTTTAAAACTCAAATCTCGCATGTGTTGCGTCTGCTACTCGCGTATTGCTAGCGAGGCCTGTGCGCGAGCGCAGCGCTTTCACAGCGCAAAAGAAACGCGTTTATTTTTCTTCATATCAGTTTGTGTTCATAATGCAGGTGTCTGAAGACATTTCCTCTAGTTAGCGCGTATTTTTCTGTCGTTTGTTTGTTTTGTGGCGCTGCGCTCCAATCAGAGCGGTAACCCGTAGCAACCGCCATTGATCAACAGAGCCCGCCCACTTTAGCAGCGGCCGGAAGTATTTTTCCCCGTTTAGTTTTCGTTAAAGATCGTTAAACCATTAACCAAACCGACCAGATGAATCACATCTTTACTAACTTTGCTTCGAAGCAAAAAAAAAAAGTATTTAAAAATGGGACAAAAACACATTCGCGGTGCTTCATATGAGTGGGCGGAGCTAAAGAGCTCGTTTTGAGGTTTTGATTGGTGGAGAGTTCTCTGCTGAATCATGGGTAATGTAGTTTCTCAACTGCAATTCTGCTCTTAACCATGATTATTTAAAAATAAGTTGAAATAAGTTTCAACAACTATCGATTAATAATCTCGAAGCTCACAGTAGGTCTGTTTTTAATGGTTATTATTATTATTAAAAAAAAATTCCCCCATAAAGAAAATGAATGGGTTTTAATTATTATTTCCGGAACCTGACTGTTGCGCTCTTTTTTTGTTTTTAAGAAAGCACTGCTTATAAAAGAAAGTGTTTTATAAAAATATTTTTATAAAGAAAAAATGTTTATGCTTGTAGTGTTTTATTTTTAAAAAATAAATGTTTGTAGTGTTTTATAAAATATACTTTTATAAAGAAAAAAGTTTATACTTGTTTTATACCTAAAAGAAAAATGTTTCTCGTTGTAGTGCTTCGTTTGAAAAAATATAAAGAAAAAAGTTTATGCTTGTAGTGTTTCATTAGAAATATTTTTTATAAAGAAAGTTTATACTTTTGTTTTATAAAAAAAAAGTCATCAAGAAAAATGTTTATCCTTTAAGTGTTTTATGAAAAGAAAAAAAAAAGTTTCTACTTTTCATTAAAAAAAAAATTCTCAGTTTTTTCATTACAAACTTTTTTTGGCAGAACCAAGAGTGAATGAATATATATATATATATATAAAGAAGAACAAAATAGTTGTTTAGAAAATAGTTGTTTCTAAATTGTTGCTTTGATACATTTCCGAGTGTTATTATTATCATGACACTTATTTTTAGGAAGAAGGATGTATATAGTTACATTGCTTTGTACTGTTTGTATGGTTTCTATGTGTTTTCTCACTGTGTTCTCTCTCTTGTGTGTGTTTGCAGCGACGCCGAGGACAAAGAACCCAAAGAGAAGAGCCGAAAGTCGCACCGCTACCATCCCTACAAAGAGCGCCGCAGCGGCTCGGTGGACCAGAAGGCCTCCCACAGGAACCGCGTGTTCATTAGCAATATCCCTTATGATATGAAGTGGCAGGCAATTAAAGATCTAATGCGTGAGAAAGGTAACCCATGCTGCGTCCCGTCCCTCTCTCAGCTTTAGCTCGTATCCGTCTCGATCTAGACGAGCGTGCAACATGAATGTCAGACAGGGGAGTTGAATCTGTTCTGGTGGGAATATATACTGTGTATATATATATATATGGTGGTATTTGCTGTAGTCATCATCATGATGAGTCATCACTGTAGTGTTGAAGGATTGTACAGGTGGGTGGCCTAGTGATTTTTCTACCTGTGTGTGTACAGTAGCATCTTGCATAGAGGAATGAATGTAGCGCTAGGTGTCAGTCGAGGTGCTTTTCGAGGAGCGGGTCTCAGGTGTGTGTGTGTGTGTGTTTCACTGGGCTTTTCTAGCGTTGCACCCAAGGAGACCAGACCCCTGGTGATTTAAATGCCTTGTTCTCTGTGGTATTTTCCCTTTGTATGTCTCATGTAGTTGGTGAGGTTACATACGTGGAACTCTTTAAGGATGGAGAAGGAAAGTCAAGGGTAAGTGTTGGTGACTCTGTGAGGTTTGCAAGGCCTCCGCAGCATCTCTCTCATGTGCTCAGGGCCGGTAGAGCTGATATACTGTCGTAGCTTTGACCTCGGGACGGTGTGTTGATGTGGAGCGCTACAGAAAAAGCCTATTAAGACGATTATTCGGATGTCTTTTAAATCGGTGTTGACCCGTTTGACTGGGGTCCATCTGTCTCTCTCACATCTGATGATTGCTTAGGTGTTTTTGATTTGGATTTAACAGACCTACGAGAGTCATATCTCTGTCAGGTGTCTTTCCTTAAACCCCTTCATCTGTTCCCTTCTCTCTCTCTCTCTCTGTCCCGTAACGACAAGATCCAGTTTCATTTGCCCCGAGTTCATTTGCTCTCATCACTGAAATGCTCCAAACAGCTCGTTAAAGTAGAGTCGTGAGCATGTGCTGTAATCGATCTCTCTGAGGCACTAATGATCAATCAGCTGTTTCTCTTTGAGCTGATGTGGTTCTGATGATGTTCTTTCTTGTCGTTCTCTCTCTCTCCTCCTCCTCGTTCTTCGTGGACTCGCTTCTGCAGGGCTGCGGGTAAGAAACGTTTATATAGAAAAAAGCACGTTTTAATTGATGCATTAATTTGCCAGACACTTGCATCGAGGATTCAAGTCGAAATTATTTATGTTTTCCCAAACATTTAAAAAGGCAATTGGCTGCAAAATAAAGGGACTTAATTGCTTTATAAGCAGTCTTATTAATTATTATTATTATTTTTTTTTTTTTCAAGCATTCAACTTAAAAGTATTATTCATTTAGTATAAAGGAATCACTCTTTCAGTGCTTGGGAAAACATAAATGATGGTCATAAAATAATAATATTTAAATAAAGTAAATATGAATAATTTAATGCATTGGATTGTTGATTGTCACAAATGTATTCAAGTAGAAATTTGTGTTATTTATATTTTCCCAAACATTTAAAAATTTAATCAAATGTGAAATAAATGTACATAAATTGTTTTATTACTAGCAAGAAATAATTTATATAATTTTAATTTAATTATTTTATTTTATTTTATTTTAATAATTTAAATTTAATTTTATAATTTTTTTTACAAGCATTTAAAAAGGTAATCATCTGTGAAATAAAGGTAGTTAAATTGTTTTATAAGCAGTAGGAAATTATTCAGAATTTTTCAAGAATTAAAAACGTAATCAGCTTAATTAAATTTAAATAAAGTAATATTTTAAACCCTAAGTAAATATAAATGAATTAAAACAATGAAATGTTTTGCTTTGTGTATCTGACAGCAGCGTCAAGTGTTCAAGAAGAAGTGATTATTATTAATATTGTTTATATTTTCCAAGCATTAAACAAGTAATCAACTGTAAATTAAAGCCGCTTGAATAGTTTTCTATTAGAAGCAGTACAGATTTAATTGATATAACTGCGGCTCTTCTCTTTCAGCGTGGTTGAGTTCAAAGATGAAGAGTTTGTGAAGAAAGCCATCGAGGTCATGAGCAAACATGATCTGAACGGACGGCCGCTGAACATTAAGGAGGTAAGCGCGTCATTCTGTCTGGCGTGTGTTTGTGCAGACGGTTCCTGACGCGTGTGTGTTTCAGGATCCGGACGGTGAGCATGCGCGGCGCGTCCTGCAGAGATCGGGCCGGATGTACGGAGCGGGCCGAGGGCAAGACATCCCTCCCTCCATCGCCAACAACCCCAACATCCCTCCGGAGATCATCAGCGCGCTGCAGGCCGGACGGCTCGGCACCACCGTGTTCGTCGCCAACGTGAGTAGTGGTCGGCCGATATATCGGCCGATATTTGCCATTTTTCAAATATCGGCATCGGCCGATAAGTTTTCCTGTTTGGCCGATGCGTTTGAGGTGGGACTTTTATTTTGACGGTGCGACTGACTTTTATTTTGACGGCGCGACAGACTTTTATTTTGACGGCGCGAAGAGCGGCAGCATATGACCCCTTTAATTTCACAAACCTTGCAAACTTAGTCGGATCCAGCTGTGAGATCTTGTGAAGTGTGCATGTGACCAAATTATTACGAATTTGTATTACAAATTCATGTAATTTCCACTGTGTGCTGTGTGGAAAATGAGTGTTACCTTGGCTTTATTTGAAAAAATATGATTCCCAATGCACACAAACTTCCCAGAATACTGAGTGCCCTGTTGGTTGCAGTGTTTACTTCCTTTTTAATTGTTTTTATTAAATATTTATTTATTTGTGATATACTTTCTCATCTAAAGTATAAGTATGTTTATTTAACATTAATTTTTTTAATCCATTTCCAAATTATTTCAAATTTCTTAAATATCAATTCAAATAAATAAAATTATATCGGCTTTATATCCTGCTTTCCAAGAGATTGGTCGACCACTAAACGTGAGTCTGAACTGGGTTCTGCCGGTCTCTAAAAAGGCCTTACAAAGTCTTCATTCACTCTTATACAAATTCAGGCCTAAAAAGATCTTAAATCGGAGCAGAAAGTCTTAAATCCATAAAGTCGTGCCATTAAATGTTGCATGAACTGCAAAAAATGAATCTCTTCATCAGTATTTCTGTTCACCCTTAAATCAAGACACATTTCCTGGAATGAAAATGAAGCGAGTTTATGATTAAAACAATAAAAACAAGTCAATGAGTCATGAAAACTCGTTTCCCTTTGAATAAAGTTGATTTTTCTGAGCCCATTTTTCTGATGTTTGTTCTTGTTTTAATCATAAACTCACTTCCTTTTGATCAGTTTCTCAGAAAACAAGACTTCATATTTAATGTCATTAAGCTTCTGTAGTAAATGTAGGGCCCTATTATTTCTGCAATGCGGACGGAATCGTGGGATCCAGTCATAAAAACTGAATTTACTGTATAACGCGGAGCGTCACGGAATTTGTCAAAGTTTGGATGAATAAATTAAAAAAAAAAGGTCATTACACTATATATGGACTAGTATCTGTAAATATTAAGCTGCAAAAAGACTTGAAATATGAATCCTGCATGCACTGAAGCGCATTTGAGTAAAACTATTGTCATATATACACACAGAAGTGTAAAGGTATTCACGGCAACCCGCCAAAATAAAGGTTCGGTCAGAAATATGTGACCTGTGCTGGCAAAAATGAGTCACAATGAGAAATTTTTAAAAACTGAGTTATTTTTATGTTCACATTCTCCATTAAAAGACCTTCAGAATGATGTATGATTTGTTGGAATCGGACGAAATTTTGAGAAAAATAGAGTTAAAAGTTTTCTGAAGGTTCCAAAACAAAATCACCTGCGACGTTGCATCTTTTCCTCCAGTTCTTTTCTTAATAATAATTACTATATTAATAATCACAATATAGCTATTTTTTATTTTATCTTTGTTATTATAAACAAATATAAGAAAAAAACAAATAATGCATTAGCTTTTTCATTTTACATCTAAACAAAAGCATTCAAGTAAGAAAAACAAATAATCAAATGTAAAAATCACTTTAGTGTGTTCATTACAAATAAATTGATTTATTAAAACTACAAAAACAGTTCAATCAAGAGCAGCGAGTGAGTCCCTCTTTTCTTTTATTGTTAGATTAACATTGAGACAGATGGCCGATATATTAAGAGCTACTGTAACACACGGATCTGATATAATGTTACACATCTGATGTTTTTCCTCAAACGTTCACTTAAGACAGAACTGATTATGTTTGCATGAATACTTAAATACTGTAAATCTGTGTATATTTATCGGGATCGCGCGCTTCGGATGACACACAATATTTCACACATATTATTGTGCAGTAGAACGTATGTAATACTACTACTACTACTAATAATAAATTATTACATTTTCATTTTTTTAAGCAATAATCACAATATTTCTCCCATGTTTTAATTTTAATAATTAACCCCCTTTTTTTTGTCCCCCCTATGCATTCGAATAATTAGACATGCTTAAACAGAATTGGGTAACAATGAAACAGAACGTGAGAAAAAAAATTTAACTTTTTATAGGGCCCTAAAAATTTAATTATTTGTTAAACTTTTAATATATTGATGTTAAATTGTATAGGTTTCATGATTTTCATTAATTAGACATGCTTTTTGATTAATAAAATATTAAAAATTTAATTTAACCATTAAAAAAGGAGTCCAGAAAAATTAAAACGGAATTTGGGAAAAAGGATTACATAGGGCCCTATAAATGGATCTGGATTTATGAATCTTTAGACACGTGACCCTGCAGCACAAAAGCAATGTTAAGTCGCTGGGGTATATTTGTAGCAATAGTCAACAATACATTGTATGGGTCAAAATTATAAATTTTTATTTTATGCCAAAAATCATTAGGATATTAAGTAAAGATCATGTTCCATGAAGATATTTTGTAAATCTCCTACCGTAAATATATCAAAACTTAATTTTTGATTAGTAATATGCATTGCTAAGAACTTCATTTGAACAACTTTAAAGATGATTTTCTCAATATTTAGATTTTTTTGCATCCTCAGATTCCAGATTTTCAAATAGTTGTATCTCAGCCAAATATTGTCCTATCCTAACAAACCATACATCAATGGAAAGCTTATTTATTCAGCTTTCAGATGATGCATAAATCTCAATTTCAGAAAATTGACCCTTATGACTGGTTTTGTGCTCCAGGGTCACATATGTTGTTTTGGTCTCTGTTGGCTGCAGCTGGACTTTAAGGTGGGCTGGAAGAAGCTGAAGGAGGTGTTCAGTATGGCTGGGACGGTGAGGAGGGCCGACGTTAAAGAAGACCAAGACGGGAAGAGCCGAGGCATGGGGACCGTCACCTTCGAGCAGCCGCTGGAGGCCGTACAAGCCATCTGTATCCTCTGCGCTCCGAAACCAGTGCATGAGGAAAGTTATCTGATTTAAAGAGTTTTAATGAATGCATATCACCATACTTTCCCCTGCTGATTATTTAGACTAAAGTTTTCTGAAATGTTAAGTGTAAATGTGAGAATGCAAATGAGGCATTATTTAATTAACTATGCACTCATTTCCAGAACATTAATCTGAGCATTGGATAAAAACACTTGTTTGATTTTGTTGCCATATTAGAGTTATCACTCCAGAATTCAGAACATACTGTCAACAGACCGAAAAAACAATCTAAATTTGCACCACGTTTTTAGAAATAAAATGTTGTATAAATCTGTGTCAGTAAAAGACTTCAGAATATAGAGAGGAATAAAGCTGTCTCCACTTCAGCAGCACTTACATACGCCAAAACCTAAAGGTATGAATTAGTTAAAAATCTGCAGATGCAAATAGATAATAAAGCAATAAGCCCCGTGAAGCCGTGGTTTACAGTGAATTTATAACAGTTAAGGGGCGTTGTTAGCTTAGCTGTTATAAATTCACTGTAAACCACGGCTTCACGGGGCTTATTGCTTTATTATCTATTTGCATCTGCAGATTTTTAACTAATTCATACCTTTAGGTTTTGGCGTATGTAAGTGCTGCTGAAGTGGAGACAGCTTTATTCCTCTCTATATTCTGAAGTCTTTTACTGACACAGATTTATACAACATTTTATTTCTAAAAACGTGGTGCAAATTTAGATTGTTTTTTCGGTCTGTTGACAGTATGTTCTGAATTCTGGAGTGATAACTCTAATATGGCAACAAAATCAAACAAGTGTTTTTATCCAATGCTCAGATTAATGTTCTGGAAATGAGTGCATAGTTAATTAAATAATGCCTCATTTGCATTCTCACATTTACACTTAACATTTCAGAAAACTTTAGTCTAAATAATCAGCAGGGGAAAGTATGGTGATATGCATTCATTAAAACTCTTTAAATCAGATAACTTTCCTCATGCACTGGTTTCGGAGCGCAGAGGATACAGATGGCTTGTACGGCCTCCAGCGGCTGCTCGAAGGTGACGGTCCCCATGCCTCGGCTCTTCCCGTCTTGGTCTTCTTTAACGTCGGCCCTCCTCACCGTCCCAGCCATACTGAACACCTCCTTCAGCTTCTTCCAGCCCACCTTAAAGTCCAGCTGCAGCCAACAGAGACCAAAACAACATATGTGACCCTGGAGCACAAAACCAGTCATAAGGGTCAATTTTCTGAAATTGAGATTTATGCATCATCTGAAAGCTGAATAAATAAGCTTTCCATTGATGTATGGTTTGTTAGGATAGGACAATATTTGGCTGAGATACAACTATTTGAAAATCTGGAATCTGAGGATGCAAAAAAATCTAAATATTGAGAAAATCATCTTTAAAGTTGTTCAAATGAAGTTCTTAGCAATGCATATTACTAATCAAAAATTAAGTTTTGATATATTTACGGTAGGAAATTTACAAAATATCTTCATGGAACATGATCTTTACTTAATATCCTAATGATTTTCAAATAAAGTGTAATGATATTAATAAAAACAGTATTCTTCCACCAAACAATGTAGCTCCTCAGAAACAGTTGTGGTTGCAACAAAGTGGTTGCCGAGCAACAGACAAACGTAAACAAAGGTGTATGTTACTTTGTAGAGTAATTTACAACAGCTTCGAACGTGGCTCAGCCAATCAGAATCAAGGACCGGAACTATCCGCTTTATAAAGTGCAATAAAATAAACACTTAAATGTGTATTTTAGATGTTTTCTTTCCACTAGTCTGAAAGCGGATGCGTTATGGAAGCAAAATAGCACAAAGCAGCAAGTGTCTCACCTTAAAAATTAACGATTTTATCCAATTTGTGTGCTGTGGATTTGCAGTCTAGTGTAGTTGTGAGTTTGTGGTTGTAAATGGGTCACTTGTTAGTGTGTACTGCAGTTAGGGTGCTTTGTCTTCCTTCACTCACGCTCACAGCCATGTTCAACAGTCAGATGCTGTTTGACAGACAGATGCACGTGAAAATGGTGAGCCGCTCCAGCGTTTTACACATCCACACATCTTTGTGTGTTTCTGAAGCTCAGATTCATGCATCTGTTCATCTGTTTACTGTAGGATGATAAATCGCTTCCTCCAGATGACTTCAGGCCTGCAGAGAAAGCGCCACAGTTACCCAGTAAGAGCCTTATGCGCTTGTTTTGGGCTGTATATAGATGTGTGTAATTCTCTGTGTGAGTGTGTGTTTATGGTGTGTGCTGCAGGAGGTCTGGGAGGCGTCGGGATGGGTTTGGGTCCCGGCGGTCAGCCAATAAATGCCAACCGTCTCAGTGGAGGGGCCGTCGGCTCCATGGGACCCGGAGGTGTGTTCATGTTTGCATAATTATTCATGCAAATTTTACACTTTACTTTATTTGCATGAATAAAGCATTATTTATTTACATGCAAAATACAGCATTATTTGTTTTGGAATGATGCAGATGAGGCATTGAATCAAGTGTTTTTAATTAATTGGACTGTTCAAATGGATTCATTGCTTGATTCATCAACTCAAATGAATCAAACTGACTGTAGCAGGGTTTTTGCTGCTTAAGCTTTAATCAGATCATCTAATGCTGTTAAGAAGTGGTGGTCATTAAAGTGATTTTTAATGATGATCAAATAAAAAGGTTAAAATCATGATGCTCACGATGTTTGCTCATGTGCATTTATCACCAGTAAGATCACTGAATCTTGAGTGTATCGAACCCTTGCTGGGATTGATGAGTTAACGCAGGGTTGGTTGTTTCTCAGGGATGGATGGGCCGGGATGCAGCAACATGAACCGCATGAGTGGTGAGAATCACTTTCATCTGGAGCAGATACATCCGAGATCATGTGAGGACGCTCATCTGTGTGTGTGCGTGTGTGTGCGTGTGTGTGTGTGTAGGGATGGGCGGAGGCTTCTCTGGGATGGACTGTATGGGTGGAATGGGAGGATTCGGAGGCAGAGACATGGGCCGAATGGGAGGTAAGACATCATTCCATCAGTCTGACAGTCACTAATCTAATCATGGGTAATTCTATAGCATCATTCCTGTCAAATCAACCAAATTCCAGAAACCTCCCCGGCTCCAATTTTTGATTTTGTTCATATTTTTTCTGAAGAAAGACATACATTAATAGTGATGAAAGCCAAAGTATTAAATGTCGTAGATGAATATTTACTGAATAATCCACTGTTTTGTAGAGGAGAGGGTCAAAATGTCCATTTTCACCTGAGATTCGGAGCCAAATTACAGGGGCGTAAAAAAGACTTCAGAAAGATGGCAGCGTCATGTTGTTCTTACACTGAGATTAGTAAACAGTAAACAGTAAAATGACTTTAGCAATCTTTGCTGCGGTATATGATAGTTCACAACAAACTTTTCTTCTGCTATCTTCATTTTTAATGCCGGATATGGCTCATTTCCAGAGATATTGGCATCTCAGTGTGGGTCCAGGAGTAAATGATAAAATTGTTCACATTTTCAGTGGTCAAAAACCAAATGTTCGGTCACTGCATTTAGCTGGAAGTTTTTTCTTTTAGAGAGAAATGTTTGAAGAACAAATAGTGCTGAAACTAAAAATATATCTTGTTTCCCTCTATCAAAACAATTGCATAAAACATACCTGTCTGAGTGATAAAATTGCTCTTTTTCCAAAGTTTGCGCACTTATAATTCAAGAAGTATTAAAGGTATCTCAGTGTAATTGTAGATTCTAGTGGTCAACAAAAGTTTCTTTTGATATGTTCATTTTTAAGGCCGTATATGGCTCATTTCCAGAGATATGAGGACATCAGTGTGGCTTCATGGGTAAATTTTCAATGGTCAAAGAAAGACCAAATGCTAAACCAACATTTTTAGCCAGGTAGCTCTGGTTGAGTTGAGACAGAATGACTGTATAGTGCAGGAAAATAACAGAATCAATTATGTAAACGTAATCGGATATGAGAACGTCAGATTGTGCTGTAAAGCAGCTCTACTGAAGACTGTAATGCTCGTGTTTGTGCACAGATGTGTATCGCTCTGGAATGGCAGGAATGGACAGAGACTTCGGCAGAAGTGACATGGGAATGAATCGCCCCTTTGGAGACTCGTTTGGAGGTCTGGGTGTGTTCTCTTTCTCTGTGTGTGTGTGTCTGTGAGAGAGAGAGGGCATGTGCGTGTGTGTGGAATGACTGTATAGTGCAGGAAAATAACAGAATCAATTATGTAAACGTAATCGGATATGAGAACGTCAGATTGTGCTGTAAAGCAGCTCTACTGAAGACTGTAATGCTCGTGTTTGTGCACAGATGTGTATCGCTCTGGAATGGCAGGAATGGACAGAGACTTCGGCAGAAGTGACATGGGAATGAATCGCCCCTTTGGAGACTGACTCGTTTGTCTGGGTGTGTTCTCTTTCTCTGTGTGTGTGTGTCTGTGAGAGAGAGAGTGCATGTGCGTGTGTGTGTGTGTGAGAGAGAGAGTGCATGTGCGTGTGTGTGAGAGAGAGTGTGTGTGTGTGTGTGTGTGAGTGAGTGTGTGTGTGTGTGTGTGCGAGTGAGTGTGTGTGTGTGTGTGTGAGTGTGCGAGTGAGTGTGTGTGAGCGTGTGTGTGTGTGTGTGTGTGTGAGCTGATGCTGACTCTCTGTTCTCTGTCCATCAGGTGGAGGATATGCAGGAATGGGGAATGCTGGGATGGGACCCATGGGCTCTGGATTAGGTCACACGCAAAATCACATTCATATGCTATTCATTCTGATTTGATGTAAACCCTTTTTAAGGGTTTCTGCGGGTCTTAATTCACTCTTCCATAAATTAAAGCAGAACGTTATAAAGTTATGTTACATGATCTGCTAAAAATCAATCTCTTCCTCAGTATTTCTGTCTCGTTTTCCAGCACAAGTATCTTAACATCCTTAAGATACATTTACTTCATATACAAAATGAACAGATGAAGACTTGAACATTGAAATTGAACATAAAGTTTAAATCTTAAAAAAAAAAAATTATAAAAAAAATATGAAATCTTTTTTTCTAATAAATTTATCAAAATGAAGTGACTTTAGGATAAAAAAGGACAAATATCGGCTCAGTCAAAACCTAATTCAAAGGAAAAACAGGATTTCTTATCTAATCTTGATTTATGAATAGTTAAGCTTTTGTATGTTTGTGTAAAATGAATGAAAATGTAATGGAGATCTGTTGGAAGTTGTATTTTCAGTCTGTGAAGTGTTGCTAATACACAACATTTATCTTTAGAGATCATTCTGACGTATTGTGTTCCATTCAGTTTATTCCTGACATTTCTTTACTTAGTCTTTAAAAAAAGTTTTGGTAACACTTTGCTTGAAGGGGTGTGCATAAGACTGACATGACACCTTCATAATCATGACATGTCATGAATGTGAAGGAGGTTTTATGCATGTTTATGACAACTGTCATTAAGTGTCATTCGCTCAGTTATGTCATTTTTAATGCAAATATGACATTATTTGACCTAACCCTACCCTTACCCCTAACCATAGCCCATAACAAAGACATCTCTCCCTTTACTTTCCTTAACGCTGCAGAAACCCTGAGCAGTTGTTATGACTCCGTCATTGCTCACTGTAATATCTACAGTATGTATATAAATGTGTGTGTGTTTCAGGAGGCGGAGCGATGGTGAATATGGGAATGGACCGCATGAACTCCGGCTTCGACCGGATGGGGGGGAACA